GATGACAAACTTTACACGAGTCTTATAGCCAATATCATCATGGCTATACTGACCAATCACGTTCAACGGACCAGACTTATAACATCATCGACTGACAAACACTATTCACTTGACCCTGAAGATGACTTCCGCTCAGGTTGTCGAAACGTCAGTTTTTCAGGACTACACTCACCCGGACGATCACATTATACGAACTACTGATACTCCTGGGTTCAAACCTTTTACTAAAATACTGATAGTGTCAGTAATTATAACACCAGGAAAAAAAATACTTTTGAGAGGTTTTAATGTTTGTGACATCAAATATCTGGTAAACCAATTAATACACCACTAGATCTTGAGTTTCAAGTATGTTCAGCCGGTGTTTAACAGGTTGGAGATAACCCTACAGTTTAAGGATACATGACTCTCTTGAACTCAAACTGGTGCTGTTAAGGAACTGACGTCATCTTGCCGCACACGATCCGATGGGCTGTAGAATAGCTTTCGCTTCTTGGGTAACTTTTGTGTTGTTTCCGTTCTCACTTCCAGTCACTCCAACCAAAGATTACTGTCATCCAAATCCCTGCCTGAATAGTGGCACTTGCGTTCAAGTTCAAGGCGGATATGACTGCCACTGTGATCTGCAATATACCGGAGCACATTGTGAAGGTAGCAATTTCTCTTGCAGTTCTAAACTATTTAGAGTGACTGGGGTGGTAGCAGCAAGCATGCTTTTCCATGTAGGCAATGAATATTGATCGAACTTGGAAGAAATATGTTTTTTGGCTCAACTATGAAAAACATTTTTTGACGTTGCTCAGTCGATGTAAAGGCTATGAGAAGGAGCTTGATGGGGAGACTCAACGGCTACCTGTAAATTAAAATTTGTGTCTTTTGTTTTTGTCAGTCAAACCTTTTGCGATTTTTGTAAAATGGATCCTATTTTGCTTAAATTGGACCTTTTACCGGTCGCTAATTTACATTTGTCTGTTTATTTTTAATCACTGTGAACCTATACAATATTGGCTGGAGCAAATGAATTGAATGACTTCTGGTATGTACTAATGGGCAGGAGCAAACATAACAATGACAAATCCCCGTCAAAGAGAAGTGAATCGATCCGGTGAAGGTCATGCCGAATAAAAGAGTGTTTTCTTTCTCTCGTGCCTATAGTCGATAAATGTTTGTCAACGTTTTTGATCACATATATCTAAAATATTTGACGTCATTTTTAATAGTTGACAAGTGTGCCAAGTGTGATGTCCACGCTTTGTGTGTCAGGGGACGCTGCAGATGTATGGCAGGTTACATAGGAACAGGATATGAATGTGTCAAAGGTAATCTAATAAACAATTAGATTATGAGCTCGAGATTTCTATGAGGTGATAGTTGATGAGGCCGAAGGCCGAATCAACAATCACCTCATAGAAATTTTCCTTCAAATAATTATTCCAATTATTTCTCGTCTTAGTATTAAACTTCACGCTGTAGAAAATTCGCGCGGACTGAATTGTCAATGTGACATTTGCAGTTGCGTAGGCGCGCTTATCAGTTTCTGTAAAAACTTTCGAGGGTTTTTGATTCAAGAAACTGTAAATGCCCTTCTTTTACTCTTCTTAGGAATTTTGTTTCATTTGTTTCTGAATATTCTTGCAAAACTTCGCAGAAACGTGGAAACGTTGCATTTTTTCAACCACACCAAACCACTGAACACTAATTAAACAATAGAGTGTTTCTGTCGAGGAACTATTGGCTGATAGTTGCTCTGCGGAAATTTGATGATCTTAAAACAAATATTTGCCCGAGAAGCGAACCTTCGAGGGCAAATATTCTAGTTTTAAGAACATCAAATTTCCAAGGGGCAACTATCAGACCGATAGTTCCGAGACATGAACACTCTATTGTCGTTATTGTTTACCACTAAATTTTCTTCTGCGTGCCAGTTCAAAAGTCATATCGAATTATTTTCAACTTTTTTTGGAAGAAAGCTGTGAAAACCAAATGTAAAATTTAAAAAGGAAAATAAACAAAACCCACTTAATACAATTTCATTTGTTTATTTTTTTATAAGCTCGCTTGTTTGCAGAAAATTTTTCACGGACGAGTACTATCCATCAGGGTATTTTCCTCGGACGAGCACTATGGGCTGATAGTGTCTCTCCGCGTATGAACAATATCGCGTCACGTGATCAACTTAAACCAATAAGAATCGGAGAAAATTTAGTGGTTAACTATAATGGCCGATAGTGTCCAATGGTTCAGCCAATCAAATTACAGCATTTGCATTAGTATACTAGTAGAATTCTACCAATCGTAATTGTGTCATAAGTCAAATTATGCTCGCATTTAGATTGGTTTTTACGTATGATCACTTAGAGGACAAGCGCATAGATGACGTCGTTAAAATTTTTTGTTTCTTTATTATATAAAACAAATAGATTCCATGTTGCCGTGCGTCTCTTCAGAAATTGATCACAGATGACGTCAAATATCGTTGGAGCATCAGTGACATACTTGTCTATCGCCTCGCGTGCCACTTTTGTTTTTATTACATTTTGACGTCGTCTGTGCTCAGTTACTGAACAGACACACGGCAACATGGAATCTATTTGTTAAAGTGGTCAAATGCGGAGACGGAGTTCTCTACACTTATCTCAATCAGCACCAACACTGCAATTTTCTTCCGCTTCCTATTCGTAGTTGACAGGTCGCGCCCGATTATAACAATTCTCAAACGTTTGCGTCAAATCACACTATTATAATATTTCTATACTATTTTTTTTGCAATGGTTCAGTTAGTTTTTCCACAGGTCACCCAAGCGTAATGTAAGAGTTTGTATGGAAAACTGTGGCTGAATTATAAGGATTTGTATGGAGATTAGAAGACCACATTGAAATCGATCAATGTATGGATAATTTACCGAATAAATACTCTTGAACATTCAGTGTTTTCATTTTTTCTCATTCCGGAGAGTTTAAACGAGATTTGAGCGAATTTTGATATTCTATCCTACGGTGTTATAACAAGAGACAAGGTAGGAAACTTCGGCCTGTTTGACGACAAAACACTCTTTGGAAACGAGTCAAATTTGCACACAAAAATAGCAGTTACTCACAATAGTTCTCGCTGAACTCACAATGTAAGGCCTGTACTTCTCTCTCTGCAATCCAATGAAGCACATTAATTGGTAAGTAAGTTAATTAAAGATTCGTTTGTTATTATTATTATCATTATTATTATTATTATTTGGTTTTGACCGCGTTAACGGGACAAAAAGTTGAAATATGGCGGCCAAAACAGCGGCAATTTATGCTTGACGCAGCGAAGGTAATCAGTTTTGCTGTCGTCAACCGCTCGGCCGAGACTGGAAATGTGGTAAATTATCACCTCACGGGTGGAGGGCATGAGATTTTAATCTTACAAACTTCTGCTTTAGCCAAAGAGTTTAGGATTACAGCAAAAGCAACAAAAGAGCAACAAAACAGTGGAGTTTCATACCTCTGTACGAGTGTGGTAAGTTAATTATGTACGGTGATGAGCAAAGATCGATTGACCAGCAGACATGTGAGACAAAGTTTGCTCGATAAAAAATCTCGTGCCCTCCACCCGTGATTTGATAATTGACCACGTTCCCAGTCTCGGCCGAGCGGTTGACGAGAGCAAAACTGAACAACTTAGCGGCGTCATTTCAACTTTTTGTTTAGTTAACACGGTCAAACCTGAATGTGTGTTTCATTGGATTGCAGAGAGAGAAAGCACAGGTCTTACACTGTGAGTTCAGCGAGAAATATTGTGAGTAAATGCTATTTTTGTGTGCAAATTCGACCCGTTTCCGAGGAGTGTTTTGTCGTCAAACTGGCCAAAGTTTCTTACCTTATCTCTTATTATAACACCGTATGGTAAATAAATCAAAATTCGCTCAGATCTCGTTTAAACTCTCTAGGATGAGAAAAAATGACACCATTGAATGTTCAAGAGTATTTAGTGGGTAAATTACCCATACATTGATCGATTTCAATATCATCTTGTAATATCCATACAAACTCTTATATTTCAGCCACAGTTATCCATACGAACTCATATATTACGCTTGGGTGACCTGTGGTTTCTCAATCAGAAAACATGTCATAGTTGATTGTCAAACAAAGCTGTGAAGAATTTAAGTTATCCCGTGACAACTTTTTCTAGCTCGTCACAAGCGCTGTCCCACAGTGTGTCCCATCTACTCTACTTGTGTACAAGGAGCATGCCAATGTATACCAGGGTATCAGATGCAAGGAAACAGCTGCATACGTAAGTCAAAACATTAATAAAGCAATTAATATCAACTAAAAGTTGAAGAAAGGCATTGCTTTACTGTTTTTCTTTAACCTGGTTTTGAGTAATCCTTAGGTTTTATAACAACTCTTATTTTCAAGCTACAATAAAATAATAATAAGAGAACATTTCGAAATACATTTGAATACTTCGACGTTTCGAAGTCATCTTGACTCCATTATCAAGTAGAGGTGTTAGCTACTTGATAATGGAGTCAAGATGACTTCGAAGCGTCGTAGTTTATTCTTTTAATATTCATTACTATAAAATAATACGGTTATTTTTAGGAAAGCCTACATGTAATGATACATTGTATTAATGATGGTTATAATGTCAGCTCCACACGTTTACGCTCCGTCGCCTCCAGTTCCTCCTCCTTCGCCACCGTCACCAGCTCCACCACCACCACCTCCTCAGTTTGGTCAAACTGTTATGTACTACGTGCCGTACAAACGAAGCCAAACTCACAGTCAAGTAAAATCGAGTCTGGGAAGCCATAAATAGTCAACTTGAGAAAAGACCTTGCATGCATAGAGTAAGGTAATGTTATAGGCTCGAACAGTAAAACAGTGGAAGTTGAATTACGAGTTACGTTCATCTCTCAAGTATCGTCAGAAATTAAAACCATTGATTCAGTTGTGGTATGTGGTATACTTGATTGGAAACTAACAACCAAAAACTAATCTTGAAGAGAAAGCATGACGCTGTACGACGCAGTAGATTGAACGCTCCCCTCTCACCAGCTGAGTTCGTTGTTTATTCTCGCTCCCTCCAGCGAAACCAGCGCTTTAAATTCCAATAGATCTCGAAAAAATGGACGAAAGGTCTTTCTGTGGCACGTGCCTCTGCCAATTACAATTTATTTATTTACCTATTTATTTTTCATCGATTTCAATAAACTTAGCTACTTTAAAAACCTATGAAGTGTAAAACTCTTTGGCTCGAATCTCAGATGTTAACGTCTCTTCCCAGAACCACTGAAATAGGGTGTGAGAGAGACTTCCGTTCACTCTGGCTAGTTTCAAATTGTAAGAGAAATAGATTAAGATCTCTAATCTTGATTTTGGCGCTGGTTCTGTGTCTAAAGGCTTATACACTGCGTCCCATGCTTTAATCCTTTAATATAAGTGGTGGTGGAGATCGTTGGAGGAGGACTGAATACACTGCGACACAAAACTGGCAACGGTACGTACGCAACATAAAAACCCACTACGACTGTTACAAACAGAATACTCAGAATTGTTTTTCCTAAACGGTGACTTACAGGTGTGACAGTTTACGCTATACATAACGGTGACCACAAAGAAGAAGAGGAGGAGGAGGAAGAAGAAGAAGAAGAAGAAACTGAACCAACTCCTCCAATCCCGAGCACAATACAAACGACACCCCACACTGGTGCACACATTTCACCAAATACCCCAACTCCGACAGTTACACCACCACCACCATCACCGCCACCACTGTCACCATCCCCACCACCTCCAGTTCCACCACCACAACCTTCCCCACCACCGCCGGTTCCTCCACCACAACCATCTCCACCACCTCCGGTTCCGCCTCCACAACCTTCCCCACCACCGCCGGTTCCTCCACCACAACCATCTCCACCACCTCCAGTACCGCCACCACAACCTTCACCACCTCCTCCGGTTCCTCCACCACAACCTTCACCACCACCTCCAGCTCCATCACCAGTACCAGCTCCCCCTCCTCCTGTTCCTATTCCAGTGCCATCATCACCTCCCTCCGTTCCGGCTCCACCTCCACCCGTTTCGAGTCCTCCCTCCTTTCCCGCTCCCCCGCCTCCAGTTGGTAGCCCATCCGCCGCAGCTCCATCATCCCCAACATCCTACGGTCCTCCTTCCATGGATTATCCCCAATATTCTGACTACCCTGTCAACTATGGCTACCCGTCTTATTACAGGCCTTATTACAGATCATATAGGCCATACCGGCCACATTACAAGGCACTTTATGGCTATTGATTTTCTGTAAAGAAACGTTTGGATGAGGGATGGATTTTGCTTGAAATTCTCTACTTTTGTTAGTTTAAATGAAAACGTTTACATGTAACTCTCACCGATTGATTTTTGTATGGTTAAGTTGCAGGATAGTGACCTAAGACGAAGAGAAGGAAAGTGTCAAAATCGTGTGAACTAAGTAAAAAATCTCTTGAGATTGAGCATTAACTGGATGCTACCGCAAGAAAAATTTGAAATTAAATGTTAAATAGGGAATATACTAATAATATAGCAACCTCAATAAAAGTAATTGATTGTAAAAGAAGAGAGAGTGCCTCAATCAGTCAAGGCTTTAAATAATTGTAGTCATATGTGTATATCTTCCTATTAAATAAACAGTTTCTTTGAAACGTCGAGAGGTGCGTTAATTGGTATGGTTAATTTTTATATTTTAAAAATGTCACTTAAAGGTTAAATTTATACCGTAACAAAAGTTATAGTACCTTCGTGAAAATCCGTTCAATTTCGGCCATGTCTGTTCGCAAAATTAGTTGTGAGTTGACTAGAAGCACTGGTTACATTCCCGAAAATATTTACTGGTGGAACTCTTGCCAAAACCGTTCGATCAGAGCACTTACCGAACTTAAATGTTGTTAACAAAGGAAATAAAATAAAAAGTAAAATTCTGACCGCAAGTGGCACCCATCAGTGTTTCGTTATAGAAGAACTCCCAAAAACTCTTCCTGTAGACCCGTTATGAATTTTTAGAATATTTGTAGGTGTTGTAACTGAACGGCTTTGGATAAAGATCAACCAGTGGATACTGAGAATTAAGTTAGTGAAAATCTTAGTCTACGAATCTAGCCGATAAAATCATGCGTCTGCAGAGCCACCTTTCGGAACCAAGTTTCCGCTGGCTATGGCTGAGGTGCAGGCTGCTCTGGTGACGAGCGCTCACACGACACACGAATACACCATCCCTGTAACCCAGCAGATCAGTATACAAACATACGTCTGACCAAACCCTGAATTGAGACCCAGTCGGTCAATAGAGTTATTTTCAAAGCATTTGACCTAGAGAAGTTGTGTCAATAAAGGTTATATGATCAAATGTTTATTAGTTACCGTTATTGCTCGCAAGGGCACGTATAAGGGGCCATTTTAGGTAAGTTTAGAAGAATTTAAGACTCCAAAAAATGTAAGACTGACCTAACCTGTACAATTTCGTTGAATAGAGCAAAGAATAAAACACACTGGCTGTTGTTGTGAAGTTAATGAGTGAAAGGACAATAATTTTCTAAATTTTTACCCGTCCAAGAGCACAAATTAAAGGGCACACAATGCTTGAAGAGACGATGTGACTGTATAATTTCTCTCTATCGTTTAGAATAACCGAGATAACGAGAAGAGATTGGAAAACTTGTTGAGGAAACATCTCGATTATAAAGGTTAGAGGCAACTCAACCCTATGTTGAGGTAAACCTATGTTGAGGTAAACAACAAGACAAGGATGGCGTCTTGAGAATTGCGTAAAGCCTGTAATATAATACTCTAGGCGGTAGCTGTAGGCGCGTCTTAAGTTTTCGATGAGGCTTTGGTTGTCGATCTCAATTTCAAATGTAAACGGGAATATGTTTTTCTTTCCAATTGTTTAGGGTTTAGGGGTTTATCTGGTCTTCGGAAAAGAAAACCTTTGAATTCGAGTCTGAAGTTGAACGACTTTGCTGACTTTGACTGACATTGCGGCCTCCCGTCTTTTGCTAGGTTTTCCTTATCCATGCGCCAGCACACGATTAAGTTAATGGAACCACTTTAGCTTAATTTTAATATGGTAAAAACAGAGTACAAGACCGAATACTGGCTGAAAAATTGATAACACAGTTTGCTGCTGCGACGTGATTACTTATGAAAAGAACACAAAGGAAAGCAACAGACTTTCTACGAGGTCTACGACAAAATCGCTGTTTTCCGTTTTATCATGAGTTTGCTTACAGTATTCGACGCAGTACCCGAACAGATTGAACAAAGGACAAGTGAAAGTTTCAACTTGGTAACATGGGTGCTTGCTTGTCATTTTAATTTTACCGCCATTTAACATGGGACATTTTGACATGTAAGTGGGCGGAGCTTCGTGCTTTGAAGCGTGGATCCGTGTCAGATGGAATAAAGTTTACCTGTGTTGGCTTGGTTTTTATTGTTTATTAACAGGTTACTTTATTGTCGATTTGTGAGTGTTTTGACCCAAAAAATAACATAAATTAAAAATGACTGCAAATGACTTTCAATTAGGTCCTTCCATATAAACATCGAACAATCAATCGTTCATTCTTACCTTAGACGTTTACGCTAAAAAGGTGACAAACATGCAGTTTACTCTCAAACACTTAACTTTGGTTCAGTGGCTTTCCATGTTATATTTACACTGTTTAGTGTACGGTGAAAATACAGATGGCAAAGAAGTTGGTAAACATGTCAGTGAAAAGGTCAGGAACGTCTCGCAAGGAAAAGTAACTCTTGCAAGGTCAGTGCACCTACGAAAGAAAACTGAAGTCAAAGACTCGATAAATGGCGTACGAAAAGATGTATTTGTAATGCCACTGCCAATCCACATCCAGCACCTTAAGGACTACCCTGTTCCAGTTCCTGTTAAAGAGGAGACTGCAGAAAATGTTTTGCACGTGCACATTCATGACAGTGAGTTCTCTGTTTCCTTTTTACTTTGTCGGTTCTGATTGTTTGCTTTGTAAATTTGTTTTGTGTGCCTCTTATCACCACTTGAAAGTAAACAGTTCTTTTTGTTCAGTATTATCAACCATAAATAAAAGCGAAGAAAAAGAAACGAAGGACCAATCTTTTCAAACAAAATATCAAATAAGTCTTTGTTAATAGTTGAATTGAATTCACACGAGGACCTGATACACACGAAAACGAATATCGGAATGTTTAACTATTAACTTTTATATCAAGGTGTGGATTAAAGTCCTTGTTTACTTCTGAAAAAGATTTAATTTAATCTCTAGACGTGGCTATGAGGCTGAGAAAAATAAATTCTTAAAGCTGTCCACACTTGACAATCGGTCACTGGCATGTTCATCGTGTTTGCTTTTGAAAACTATTCACCCAGAACACTGTCCTAGAGCATCGCTTAAAGGGGCTCAGTCACGGTATTTTGAGTTATTTTGGCCACANCATAAAGGAACAAGGATGGCTAAGGATGGAGAAGATTAACACGGATTACAAACGACGAATTTGAAAAATTGAGGCCAAACTTTTCAATATGCGCAAACCGTGGCTGAGCTCCTTTAAGTTCCTGATCTCCACAAATTTTGCATCATTATTTATTCAGTCTAAATCGATTAATTGAATTGATCGATCGATTTTTAGCTAGTATCAATCAATGATTTATATGCCTTGTTTTACTAAATAGAAAATCCGTGCAAAAATGGCGGAGTACTTTCAAGCGATTCTGCTGGAGTTTGCTGTCAATGCGTTTGCCCATCTCAGTACACTGGCACGACCTGTGAAGGTATGTCCTCAGATCAGGTTGGTGTCAATGTGGTCTGGAAATATCAAATTTACGCTCATAACTTTAACTTAAAGCAAACAATCCAAGAGTGAATGTTACCCAGGCAACAAGATGAACTTGTAAGTGCTTTTGAAGTTACGAACAGCATAAATTTAAACTTAAATTTAACTTTCCTTGTACCATAGTTGGAAACAACTAGCATCAGGTTAAGAAAATTGAAATCAATTTGCGTCAAAAGTTGGCTTCAGTCATGCTGTAAATATCCCACAGAAGCTGTAAACAGCCAATCCTGTGATACAATGTCCATGGTAATGCTTTTGTTAGCTGTAGAATCATAAGTTCGCTTTTGCTTTTTTCAGTGCAACAGCATTGTTCCTCTGGACCTTGTAAACATGGAGGGAAATGCATAGAGATAAGCAATGGTTACAAATGCACGTGCCTTGCAGGGTTCACTGGGGAGAACTGTGAAGGTAATAAGGGAAGTAGATACCACTGAATGCAATTTATTTGCTAAAGATGGTCTATAAAGTAAGGATATAACACGGTGGCGAGAAGGTATGAATTTTATGTTCGAGTAACAAGAAAAATATAGTCACTATATTGCTCTTGCTGCGAAAACATAAAATTCATATCTTCAAGCTAACGTGTATTGTTCTTTTATTATATGGACCATACATTATGGACATAAATGACTGTTTGCAAATACTGGGTTTCTGCAAAGAGTGGCTTGGGGTAAAAACTGCTTGCTTGGGATGCTTGGGATAAGAACTGTGATGGATGAGGGCTTGTATTCTTATCCGTTTTTCAGTTTCGCGCACAAAACACGAGGTGTTTGATGATTGCTTGTAGTCCCACCAGCGTAAGATCCTCGATTTCTATTTTCCTGTCACGTTTGGAGAAATTTCTTGAAAATCTCTCGCATCATTTTCCCATGTTTTCTCGTTGTAATCTGTTCTGGAAGTACAATTAATACTTCATCGTCGCTCAACAAAACAAATCCACCCTCAGCGGCCGCCATTATTCCGAACAACAAACCAAGTTTACTCAACTATTTTGTTGAAGGCGGGAATCGTGCCCCTTTTGTCGCCGGATATGCCACTCGCAAGAGTGACATACGGAAAATTCGCCCCTGGGGTTGTAGACGGATGTAGTGATTTATGCATTCTACAAGTGTTTTAGCTCTCAGTAAAACACTCCTGTCCATATGATATGGAAAGATATTTTAAATAGTAAAGAAAGGACAAATCGATGGAGGCTGACGTTGAATTTTTAATGTTGTTTTCTATCGCTTTAAGATGAAATGTTCTGTTCTCCTAACCCATGTGAACATGATGGTAGATGCGTGGAGACGCTGAAAGGATACAGATGTGTTTGTCAAGATGGTTACACAGGAGTTAACTGTAAAGGTACGCATGTCTGAAGTTAGAAAAAACCATAGCAATTGTGTTTCAACTTTTTCCAAGTGCAATTAAAGAGGCCTGACAAAATTAGGGCCTCAAGCTGGGCTTCGAGCAATGGCATGGCGATGCAAAGTATTTGTGAAATGTTCTACTAAGTGAGCTACGAAGCCTTGGAAGAAGCTTGTTAAAGGAATTATCAAGTCCTGAAACGAGTGAAAATGATCTTAACCTTAATCATCTGCTAACTGAGAAATGACGGCCATTTACATTTACTGCTAAATTAATTTGTGTTTATATTTATTAAAGAAATTGCAACTAGAAAATATTTCCAGGACTATCACTGGATTGGAGCCTCTGCGTTACTGATACATTACCGGGTATTCTACCTCTTACAAGGAAACGTGGTGGAAATATTACTTTCTTGCTCCAGATGCATGAATCAAAATCAACAGAACAGCTTGTGATTTTTCAATATCTCAGATCCAGATCCTTGTTTACCAAACCCTTGCCTACATGGTGGAAACTGCGAAAATGTTAAAGGCGTTGCACGCTGTCACTGTCATCCGGGGTATCATGGAACGTACTGCCATGGTAAGGGAGCTCATAATTGATAATTCGGCATAGCTGGTAAAAACTCTGCCATATTTCTTTATTTATGACATACATGTAGCTCCAAAATGTATGGAATTGTATCTGTCTATATGTGTGAGTTATTGGAAAAGCATTTGGTGAGACGCCTAATACGGCAGCAGGGAATGAAAGAATACTTCAAGGTATCAGTGTACCCCAAATGACCATCATTCTTTGGCGCCGCTTTACGGTCGGACGTTCGACGCAAACCCCAGTAAAGTATATATTTTCTGAAAGCTTAATAATTGTAGATTACGGAGGTGTATTCATTAACATGAAAAAAAAAAAAAGGGTTTTCCAAATATAGCGCGCTATTTCTCAAAATACAGAGGCTCGCTAATCAATTACGATCGTTTCCGGTGCATGGGATTTGATCGGGAGAACGCGATCAACATCGCTATGTCTCCTTGACACCTTTCTCTAAAAAATGGTGTCGGAAAATTTGATTACTTGTCTGGTTTGAGAGTTGATAAAACATGCATTCTCTTCACTAAAATAGTCATAATTTTTGAAAGAAGCAAAAATTAAAAATTCTCCGACAGAGTTTTTCTGCCTGATTATCGGGCAACGTTCCTTTTAAATTTCAGCGAAAAACCTTGAAAACTCGATGGAAACGAACTCAAAATGTGCGCTTCACTCGCTAAAATTTTCGCTTCGAGAAATGAAGGAAAATATACTTTGGGGTCTTCTTCCGGTGTAATAAGATAATTACCCAAAACGTGTGAAAAATAATGTCCCATTGATCGACCAAAATGAAGGCTTATTTTACTTAAAGAGCTCATATCAATGTTGCTCCTGGCGGGAAATATCCTTTGCAAGATCTGAACTCCGCCGCTCGCGCAACAAGGTTAGTAAGGAAATAATTTTCGTTCAATATTTCGTTTTCCATTTTTTAAATACCCTAGCTAATATGGATTCACATTCCATCTAACGAAACAGGTTTAGAGATGCCGAAGACAGGTAAAAAGCGTTCACGTAAACAAGGGAAAAAGACAAGAAACTGATTTCACGAGGTTTTCTTGCGAGCGTGCTACCGGCCAACTTTTGCTATGACTCTTGTAAGTCCGGTTCTGCAGGTTCGTCTTTGCCTTTGTCTTCAATTTTCGACCGGCTAGCACTAACGATCTCGTTCTCCCATCGACTTTGTTTTTTCTCGTCTAGAGCAATCGATGTCTCCTGCTCAAAATAGGAACCTCGGTCGCTAGCAGCTAACGCGTCAGCTCGATCCTTATCGAATGAATTCGAAAGCTTTTCCTCTTTGAAGGTTTCTTCGCGCTTTCAAAAGACAAGGACTTTTGCGTTTTTTTCTTGGACGACATCGAATAGATATACCATAAGCTTTTAAAAATCCATAATCTACAAAAGCAAAACACTTTCGTCGACGACTAATTTTAATACACAAACACAAACGTGTGAAAGTCGCATAACACCGTGTCTCTCACATGATCTTTTAATGCAAATTTACTTCTCGTGACAACTTGTTGACAGCTATCAATTAGAGACAATTAATGGTAAGAAACGTTTTTCGTTAATAACTTTAATTTGCTTAGAATCAATCTTTTTTCATAGAATTTTATTGAATGAAAGATTGCAATAAGATCTATCTGAAAAAGCGAAAAACATTTTTTTTGAAAAATGATCAAATTTGGGGTACACTGATACCTTAAGAGCAGATATCGATTACTAAGAAACATAAATGGTTAACAAATTAATAGCATCCACATTAAATTAAACTATTCTTTATCGTCAATTAAACATGATTCGGTATATTCCTTGCTGTTCACCGCAGAAACCTATGTCTGTTATGTGAATCCTTGTCATAACGGCGGAAGATGCATAGAGAACCCTTTGGCACCTTGTCGTTGTTCCAGAGGATACATTGGGAAATACTGCACGGGTAGGTGTGTTCTGAAAAATACGTCAGCTTTGCAATGCGAGATAAATTGATTACCTAATGGTCTTCAGGTATTATTGTGATAAAAGTTGTCTAATACTTGACGACTAGACTGAGAACTTGGAGGTTTCAGTTGTACATGTGTAGGCAGTTAAACTACGAATTTGTCAATAGTCAAGCCCGCAGCAATTCTAAAAGTCAAATTCCGAGTTGCCTTTGTCTCTGTTTCAAGACGGGTCCTCGTGCAAAACATTTCAGATGAAAATGAGTTTGATTTGCATGAAAATGAACATGCAGATAAAACACATTTTTATATGAGTGGTTTCACACGAAGAATCGTTGAGACACGGAGGCAATGGCAACAAGGAAATGGCCTATTATGTATACCTATTTAGATCCATAGCAGATTAGATAACAGCCTTACTTCTAGCTTCACATCCATAGTGTTAGGGAAAGATAGTGAAAATGGTACATACTTAACCATGCATGCCTCAATTCCTAATACACATGATGAGTTTTACAGCATTTACGTGAACCGGTTACTTTAAGGATATAATTTTCTCTTCAGATCACGTGTGCCATCCTAATCCCTGTCTCCATGGAGGCGCCTGCAAAGTAGTTGATCACCCAACAGGGTCAAGAAACAATAGATGGAATTTCCACTGCAGCTGTTCGGAATGGTATCGCGGTAGAATTTGTCATAGTAAGTGGCATTTTATGAAAAGGACAAAAGGCGCACCGGCCGTTCGAGAACAACACGAAGAAGAAATCCCAGTGGAAATCAAAATGCTACTTTGGCTATCAGGTTTATAATGTTGTATGGTGTTCAGTAATGAATTTTAACAGTTGCTTCCTTGAACCATTAGTTCCTCATCCATGTGTTCGTCAGCCTTGTATGAATGGTGGAACATGCGTGGACGCCTTCAATTCAGATGGAGATTACGAGAAAAGAGACAGATTGTATGAACTAACTCCTTTGTCACCGAATTTGCACTTTTCTTGTCACTGTCCACCTGGTTTCACGGGATCGATGTGTGAAAGTAAGTAATTAATCGACAAGATAGGATATTTCACTTAGTGTGCGGTGTAACTGTTCTTAGTGGTAACCAATCATCTAAATTGGCGAATCACTTACTCTGAGAGTTTTGGGTGTATATTAAGACAACAGAAGAGCTCGTGTCTTCTCGGCAACAAGGTGCTGATGCTGAAAAGAGTAGTTAACACACAGGCAGTAAGCCGGTGATTTGAATGATCCAATGTAACAATATTACATAATATAGAGGTGAGAATGATCAAGAGACTTAGTTTTTAGGTTCATGTAAGTTCAAATTGTTTTACCTGCCTATTATTATTATTATTATTATTATTATTATTATTACCGTTATTATTATTACTATTATTATTTATCAATTAATTTTAATATAGGACCCTTTTGTGAACCCCCTTGTGATGTAGGCTTCCTCATAAAGATTAATTTAATTAGATACTTATCAACTTAACAAATTGACGTCAGTTNTATTCTTATCCGTTTTTCAGTTTCGCGCACAAAACACGAGGTGTTTGATGATTGCTTGTAGTCCCACCAGCGTAAGATCCTCGATTTCTATTTTCCTGTCACGTTTGGAGAAATTTCTTGAAAATCTCTCGCATCATTTTCCCATGTTTTCTCGTTGTAATCTGTTCTGGAAGTACAATTAATACTTCATCGTCGCTCAACAAAACAAATCCACCCTCAGCGGCCGCCATTATTCCGAACAACAAACCAAGTTTACTCAACTATTTTGTTGAAGGCGGGAATCGTGCCCCTTTTGTCGCCGGATATGCCACTCGCAAGAGTGACATACGGAAAATTCGCCCCTGGGGTTGTAGACGGATGTAGTGATTTATGCATTCTACAAGTGTTTTAGCTCTCAGTAAAACACTCCTGTCCATATGATATGGAAAGATATTTTAAATAGTAAAGAAAGGACAAATCGATGGAGGCTGACGTTGAATTTTTAATGTTGTTTTCTATCGCTTTAAGATGAAATGTTCTGTTCTCCTAACCCATGTGAACATGATGGTAGATGCGTGGAGACGCTGAAAGGATACAGATGTGTTTGTCAAGATGGTTACACAGGAGTTAACTGTAAAGGTACGCATGTCTGAAGTTAGAAAAAACCATAGCAATTGTGTTTCAACTTTTTCCAAGTGCAATTAAAGAGGCCTGACAAAATTAGGGCCTCAAGCTGGGCTTCGAGCAATGGCATGGCGATGCAAAGTATTTGTGAAATGTTCTACTAAGTGAGCTACGAAGCCTTGGAAGAAGCTTGTTAAAGGAATTATCAAGTCCTGAAACGAGTGAAAATGATCTTAACCTTAATCATCTGCTAACTGAGAAATGACGGCCATTTACATTTACTGCTAAATTAATTTGTGTTTATATTTATTAAAGAAATTGCAACTAGAAAATATTTCCAGGACTATCACTGGATTGGAGCCTCTGCGTTACTGATACATTACCGGGTATTCTACCTCTTACAAGGAAACGTGGTGGAAATATTACTTTCTTGCTCCAGATGCATGAATCAAAATCAACAGAACAGCTTGTGATTTTTCAATATCTCAGATCCAGATCCTTGTTTACCAAACCCTTGCCTACATGGTGGAAACTGCGAAAATGTTAAAGGCGTTGCACGCTGTCACTGTCATCCGGGGTATCATGGAACGTACTGCCATGGTAAGGGAGCTCATAATTGATAATTCGGCATAGCTGGTAAAAACTCTGCCATATTTCTTTATTTATGACATACATGTAGCTCCAAAATGTATGGAATTGTATCTGTCTATATGTGTGAGTTATTGGAAAAGCATTTGGTGAGACGCCTAATACGGCAGCAGGGAATGAAAGAATACTTCAAGGTATCAGTGTACCCCAAATGACCATCATTCTTTGGCGCCGCTTTACGGTCGGACGTTCGACGCAAACCCCAGTAAAGTATATATTTTCTGAAAGCTTAATAATTGTAGATTACGGAGGTGTATTCATTAACATGAAAAAAAAAAAAAGGGTTTTCCAAATATAGCGCGCTATTTCTCAAAATACAGAGGCTCGCTAATCAATTACGATCGTTTCCGGTGCATGGGATTTGATCGGGAGAACGCGATCAACATCGCTATGTCTCCTTGACACCTTTCTCTAAAAAATGGTGTCGGAAAATTTGATTACTTGTCTGGTTTGAGAGTTGATAAAACATGCATTCTCTTCACTAAAATAGTCATAATTTTTGAAAGAAGCAAAAATTAAAAATTCTCCGACAGAGTTTTTCTGCCTGATTATCGGGCAACGTTCCTTTTAAATTTCAGCGAAAAACCTTGAAAACTCGATGGAAACGAACTCAAAATGTGCGCTTCACTCGCTAAAATTTTCGCTTCGAGAAATGAAGGAAAATATACTTTGGGGTCTTCTTCCGGTGTAATAAGATAATTACCCAAAACGTGTGAAAAATAATGTCCCATTGATCGACCAAAATGAAGGCTTATTTTACTTAAAGAGCTCATATCAATGTTGCTCCTGGCGGGAAATATCCTTTGCAAGATCTGAACTCCGCCGCTCGCGCAACAAGGTTAGTAAGGAAATAATTTTCGTTCAATATTTCGTTTTCCATTTTTTAAATACCCTAGCTAATATGGATTCACATTCCATCTAACGAAACAGGTTTAGAGATGCCGAAGACAGGTAAAAAGCGTTCACGTAAACAAGGGAAAAAGACAAGAAACTGATTTCACGAGGTTTTCTTGCGAGCGTGCTACCGGCCAACTTTTGCTATGACTCTTGTAAGTCCGGTTCTGCAGGTTCGTCTTTGCCTTTGTCTTCAATTTTCGACCGGCTAGCACTAACGATCTCGTTCTCCCATCGACTTTGTTTTTTCTCGTCTAGAGCAATCGATGTCTCCTGCTCAAAATAGGAACCTCGGTCGCTAGCAGCTAACGCGTCAGCTCGATCCTTATCGAATGAATTCGAAAGCTTTTCCTCTTTGAAGGTTTCTTCGCGCTTTCAAAAGACAAGGACTTTTGCGTTTTTTTCTTGGACGACATCGAATAGATATACCATAAGCTTTTAAAAATCCATAATCTACAAAAGCAAAACACTTTCGTCGACGACTAATTTTAATACACAAACACAAACGTGTGAAAGTCGCATAACACCGTGTCTCTCACATGATCTTTTAATGCAAATTTACTTCTCGTGACAACTTGTTGACAGCTATCAATTAGAGACAATTAATGGTAAGAAACGTTTTTCGTTAATAACTTTAATTTGCTTAGAATCAATCTTTTTTCATAGAATTTTATTGAATGAAAGATTGCAATAAGATCTATCTGAAAAAGCGAAAAACATTTTTTTTGAAAAATGATCAAATTTGGGGTACACTGATACCTTAAGAGCAGATATCGATTACTAAGAAACATAAATGGTTAACAAATTAATAGCATCCACATTAAATTAAACTATTCTTTATCGTCAATTAAACATGATTCGGTATATTCCTTGCTGTTCACCGCAGAAACCTATGTCTGTTATGTGAATCCTTGTCATAACGGCGGAAGATGCATAGAGAACCCTTTGGCACCTTGTCGTTGTTCCAGAGGATACATTGGGAAATACTGCACGGGTAGGTGTGTTCTGAAAAATACGTCAGCTTTGCAATGCGAGATAAATTGATTACCTAATGGTCTTCAGGTATTATTGTGATAAAAGTTGTCTAATACTTGACGACTAGACTGAGAACTTGGAGGTTTCAGTTGTACATGTGTAGGCAGTTAAACTACGAATTTGTCAATAGTCAAGCCCGCAGCAATTCTAAAAGTCAAATTCCGAGTTGCCTTTGTCTCTGTTTCAAGACGGGTCCTCGTGCAAAACATTTCAGATGAAAATGAGTTTGATTTGCATGAAAATGAACATGCAGATAAAACACATTTTTATATGAGTGGTTTCACACGAAGAATCGTTGAGACACGGAGGCAATGGCAACAAGGAAATGGCCTATTATGTATACCTATTTAGATCCATAGCAGATTAGATAACAGCCTTACTTCTAGCTTCACATCCATAGTGTTAGGGAAAGATAGTGAAAATGGTACATACTTAACCATGCATGCCTCAATTCCTAATACACATGATGAGTTTTACAGCATTTACGTGAACCGGTTACTTTAAGGATATAATTTTCTCTTCAGATCACGTGTGCCATCCTAATCCCTGTCTCCATGGAGGCGCCTGCAAAGTAGTTGATCACCCAACAGGGTCAAGAAACAATAGATGGAATTTCCACTGCAGCTGTTCGGAATGGTATCGCGGTAGAATTTGTCATAGTAAGTGGCATTTTATGAAAAGGACAAAAGGCGCACCGGCCGTTCGAGAACAACACGAAGAAGAAATCCCAGTGGAAATCAAAATGCTACTTTGGCTATCAGGTTTATAATGTTGTATGGTGTTCAGTAATGAATTTTAACAGTTGCTTCCTTGAACCATTAGTTCCTCATCCATGTGTTCGTCAGCCTTGTATGAATGGTGGAACATGCGTGGACGCCTTCAATTCAGATGGAGATTACGAGAAAAGAGACAGATTGTATGAACTAACTCCTTTGTCACCGAATTTGCACTTTTCTTGTCACTGTCCACCTGGTTTCACGGGATCGATGTGTGAAAGTAAGTAATTAATCGACAAGATAGGATATTTCACTTAGTGTGCGGTGTAACTGTTCTTAGTGGTAACCAATCATCTAAATTGGCGAATCACTTACTCTGAGAGTTTTGGGTGTATATTAAGACAACAGAAGAGCTCGTGTCTTCTCGGCAACAAGGTGCTGATGCTGAAAAGAGTAGTTAACACACAGGCAGTAAGCCGGTGATTTGAATGATCCAATGTAACAATATTACATAATATAGAGGTGAGAATGATCAAGAGACTTAGTTTTTAGGTTCATGTAAGTTCAAATTGTTTTACCTGCCTATTATTATTATTATTATTATTATTATTATTATTATTACCGTTATTATTATTATTACTATTATTATTTATCAATTAATTTTAATATAGGACCCTTTTGTGAACCCCCTTGTGATGTAGGCTTCCTCATAAAGATTAATTTAATTAGATACTTATCAACTTAACAAATTGACGTCAGTTTTTTATGCCTGCGGCTCGTGGTTCCACAGCCACTTTGACAATGTTATGGCGCAATTTATCATCAATAAGAGGACAGACGCATAAAAAAATGATGTCAATTTGTTTTTGTACAATAATAAGACCCCAAACTGGTCAAATGCCAGGAATAAATGAGGGGAAAAAACGCGTAAACTTGCCGTAAACAAAGATAAGTGAATTTTATTCAAAATGACGCGAACATTGTCAATAGCTTTTCTCGCTTTTTGATTGGCTACTTAAAAAATCCGCAAAACCTCATTGGTTAAAAAGTTGACAGTTTGACAGCTGAAATTTGAACTTGAAAGCTTGCATAAATTAAAATTTTATCCGTCCATACTCTTATTGATGTTAAAAATGAGCCAACCAGCGCGCGAGAAATTAGACAGTTATTGTAAAAAATCTGTTTCCCACGCAACAATTATTATATTGTGAACCATGATTTAATATTTCATTGCATGTAATTTGACAGGGAAAAGTTTTGTTCGTATAATAGACCAATTTCGATATATTTAAATTCAGCTTAAAATAAAAGACCTCAGTACGAGGCTCTGGGAATAACCACAGAGTTTGTGGGGTTTATTACCAAGAGCCTCGTGCTGAGGTCTATTGAGTTAAGCCCCGGCCAAACGATCGCAACATTTCAACATATCCCAACATTGTTGGCCCAGCATTTTCAAGCCCAGGCCAATCAATCGCAACATTTGAACGCAACATCTCGCAACATTGTTGGGCGCGTTTGGCTACCCTGTTGCAACGTGTTGCGACATATTGGGTATTGAACATCGAAATAGTGCGCATGCCCGGGCGCGACATTGTTGCACGAGCCTGGCTAAACGAGTAAACATGCAACATCCACAAATGTTGCGTGAAAAATTTGACCATTTTCAAATTTGAGCCAACAACACCCAATATGTCCCATCATGTCGCAACATCAACAATCCGCTTGGCCAAAAAATCTGTTTGGCCACAGGATAGCCAAACGCGCGCAACATGTTGCGCCCAACAATGTTGCGATATGTTGCGTGACATGTTGCGATCGTTTGGCCGGGGCTTTAGGCTGGATTTTAATATATCAAAATAGACCAAATACATTTGTATATCATACAGCCGTGTGCAGCATCAAGAGGCACTGGGCAAAATTTATTTTTTGAAGTTATCAGAAGCTAAACAAGTTTCATAGCTGTTTGCTAAGTCGTCAGTCACCTCAACAGTTGTTTTAAAATCTCGTTTCAGTTGATATTTGTTCTCTGTGTCATAAAAACGCTGACTGCATTGACCACCATTGTGTTTGCAAGCCAAACTACGTCGGCAACGGAAAGAACTGTCAACGTAAGTACATTTAAACAAAATTAAATAGTTTTCTCTTTTTAACTTACAAGTAGTACTGTTGATATAAGTAATAATACGTAGGCTATCGCTGATACTGTTAAATTTCATTTTGCCACAAGCCTGGGGGTTTCTGTCATAGTTAAACGGAGTGTAACGAAACATTTCGATACTCGTTGTATCTATCGATAATTACAAATTTACTTCAAAGTCCTTTTTTTTTTACTGATTTTTCTCATAATAAACAATTAGATTGTGAGTTCAAGATGTCTATTTAACAATTAGACTACGTACCCGAGTTTTCTATGAGCGAATAGTCAACGATGCGTACTCATCAAAAGTTGTTCTTTGTTTGCTTGTTCTTTACAGTGAAGGCTGGCCATTGTCATCCCAATCCTTGTCTGAATCAAGGTACATGCACCGAAAGCTTGGACGGCATTTATGATTGTCTTTGCGCCCCAGGATACTGTGGACCGCATTGTAAAGGTACAGAATGGCGATCTTTGCTGACGGCATTGTTTACATCCCGAACTTAGAAATTCACTGATTTTACAAGTATCGCATTTAGAAATTGTCTGCTGAATTTCGTTACCACATCAGTCTTGAAGGAAAGAGTTTGCAATCTACTTTGAATGACGCATTCAAACGTTATTACATTTACAGACATCTGCTGGATAGCCAATCCTGCCATCAAGCCATGAAAGCATCTCTAATTTGATGTTTTCCATTAGGATTTTCTTTTTAAATATTAAACGCGTTCCGTATCAAATTATAGTGATTTACTAACAACATGAGTATCCTATATACTGTTCGGGGATGATCGAGGGAAATTTGGTACATAAATCATTTTGGCGCATGTGTGGGGTTATGCTGATTGTTAATTTACTGTCCATGACTAATGATTATCTCTTCAGATATTTGTGAGCCTTGCATACTATGGCCATGCTTTCACGGAGGGAAATGTATTCCAAAGGGGGAGAAACGAACTTGCATATGTGAACCTCCATACGTCCAACCAGACTGCAATGGTAAAATAAACTTTTAAAAATTCATTCGGTGAAGCGCACTCTCTGTTGTGTCATCCTTCCTTGTTGCCGTGCGTCTTTTCAGTAATAGGTCACAGAAGATGTCAAAATGTGGTAAGGACATCAGTGACACTGGGTTATCGTTGTTCTTCACACATTTTGACGCTTCTGTGATCTATCACTGAACAGACGTGCGGCGACATGCAATCTATTTTTTAATAAACAAACAAAAAAATAGTTAATGATGTCATCATGCATCTGTCCTCCAATAGATCTCATAAGTAAGAACCAATCAAAATGCGAGAATAATTCGAAATATTATATAATTGCCATGGGTTGCCAGTTTGTTTTCTTCAGCTTAATTTTACACAGTGTGGATTCTGCGGGTGTTAAATACTATTACATTTCTTATTGCTCCCGTAGGTACCCTTCCTAATTTATGTGATCCAAATCCTTGCCAAAATGGCGGAAAATGCAAGTTTTTACAGGACAAAAATGACTACATTTGTGAAGACTGTTTAGGAAGGTTCACTGGAAAAGATTGTTCAGGTGAATCAAGGATTATCCACCATTTGTATTTTAATGTCGCGAATCTCCAAAAACTGATCGCCAGAAACGCCTGCATGTTGACTCTTATAAATTTGCGGGCAACTTCACCAACTCAACATTTTGCCTTTGTAGTTTCCGTTTATGTGGGAAAATCATGTCTACGGCTGAGTTTGTTCTATTGCTATGAGTATTATTCTTGTGGTTCATATGTCCTGTTTTAGCGCGCTTCAGATTATTCACAGCTTTTGTTTACTTGTAAGCATTTTACCCAAGAGGCTTTTGCTGTAATGCATAAGCAAATAAAACACGTGAATAAAACATCTTATCTAGCTCTGGGTCGACCGGCGCGTCCATATTCCAGAAAACCTTTGGAGTGCTACAGCGTACGGTGCTCGGTTAAGTAGTGGATTCCAAATATTGCACTTTCTTCTCTTCATAATTCCGTTTACAGATTGCAACTGCCCGAAGGCCAAACCACGATCAGATGGAAAATTTGCTGTAGACGCTATTTGTGACAAAATTGGAGAATGCATGTGTCCAACTATTCCCGATGCTGGCGAGGTCACTTTGACAGATAGAGGCTGTGTGGTTGGTGGTATGTTCCTTTTAACCTAAGATGTTCATGTTTCAAAATTACCTGTTTTAGAGGTCGAATTCTATTTTGCAAACGAAAATCAGAAGTTCATATGTTCCGGGTTAGAGAAGTGTATAGCAATTAAGTGTCCCTGCTGTCCAAGTCTATTGCATCGAGACTGACAAGTTGAGAAGTCTTGATGTTGATTTACATTGTACAAGTTTGCTTCGTTCGTAGACTTCATAAGGGCTATTGCGACATTTCGGTGTATTTCACTTCACTCAGGTGTATGAGTTGGGAACACTGAAAACCAATGGATACAGTAGCGAAGTGTAACCGAGAAGTTAAATTGATCAGCTGAATATCCTATGTACTGGTCAATAAATTCTGAATTATTCACTTTACTACTAAGAGATATCAAGCCTAATACCACATTTTTGCCTACTGATTGTAGCGGCTAATCCATGCGCCAGTAAGCCGTGTGTGCACGGCACGTGCATTGTTGACTCGGGTTTTTCATTCAGCTGTGTCGACTGTCCACCACCATACTATGGAAGTCGATGTGAATGTAAGTATATGTTGATCATCAGTTTTCATGTCCTCATGTATGTCTTTACAACGAGAAAACACTACTTTCATATAGCAGCAAGTGCGCTAGAGAAAGTTGTTTTAATATTTAATTTAGGCATATCTGAAATGTACTGAAATCGACCTCATTTTCTAAATAAACCAACCAATCAATCGAGCAACGAATCACAAATACATAACTGAACTTGTGGTCTCAGAGAAACAAAGAAATACAAGTACATGGATACCAAAGATATGCTGCTGTAGGCATGTAGTTATGGTTTTTAATGACATTATATGACCTATTAGAAAACAGTCCTGACAAAATACGCACGCTGATTGGTTAAAAATCGTGTTTCTATAACTCGATGGAAACACAGAACTAGCACGCGCTGTTGACGTAATGATGGCGCGAGCAAAGAGAATTTACAATTTGATAATCAAAGTTAACAAGTTGTTTTCCTTTCTTTCGTCGCGGTGTTTTCTAAAAGAAATAGCAAACATGTTCTCCGTGTTTCTATCGAGCTATAGAAACACTCGTGAATCGAAAGTTTGGGAGAACTCGAAAAAGCTGTGGAAACACTCGCCTGCGGCACGTATTCCCACAGCATTTCTCGTTCACCCAATCTTCCACTCGTATTTCTATAACTCGATAGAAACACGGTACATGTTTTCTATTTCTTAATTGTTAGATTCCATGCAGATGGAATTAAGTAAAACCTATGCAAAAAGCTCAAATTTTTTCTATTCCCCTATGTTCTTTTTCTCAGTACGATCGATAAAAAATTAATTGTGCTCATTAAAGAATTATGTGCAAATATAAGAACAGCAGATGGCACAAAGGGCAGTGATGGTGATGATGATGATTAATAACAGCATTTATATTCTGTCGTCACGGATTTTAGGCACATCATGCACCTGTGAGAAACCTTGTAAAAATGGCGCCACTTGTGTGGACACTGCTACGCGGCAGTACACGTGTACCTGTCCCCCCGGATATACAGGTCCAGACTGTTCAGGTGTGTTAATGTCTATAACATGACTATAGGCTTATACTCTTCTCATGTTTATTTCAACACCCACAGCAAACGGGTTTAAGCGTAATAAGAAGCTGATTTTATAGCTGGGCCGCGTCTAATCTCCAACAAGTCTCCACCGTATTTTGTGCTACTATTGCAAACTAAGGATTCAGGTTTAATAAATTTTCCCGTGGAAACGCAATCTTACGTTTGCTTTGTTAACTCGTAACATTTGTTGTCCCGTCAAAATGAATTCCCGAAATTGACATGATTCTTCTTTCTCGGGAGCTATTTCATTAAGAGTCTCTTTACACCGGTGAAATAATGAAAATTGGAAAGAGCCAAACTACATCTGAACTTTGAGCGGCAAAATGAAATTAAATAAAAAAAATAATCATTTCATTAAAAGATCTTGGCATCTTTTTCCACATAACTCTTCTTCTCTTCAAGTATGCCTTTTGACAAAGGCTCTCCCGTCTTTTTTAGCTTAATACTTTCTTTTTCAGCCAAAGTGACGCCAGGAGTTATTACTGGAGGATACTGTCTGTACCAGAAGTGTGAGCATGGAGGCACGTGCGTAGAGCAGCCTCATGGGTACGACTGTATCTGTACGCCTCAGTACACTGGACCACACTGCGGAGGTAATTAACAAGTCACAGTTGGACCCCGCTAATTCGAACTCGGTTATTTCGAATTTCCCGTTATTTTGGACTCAAAACCATTTCCCTTGGATTTGCCTTTCAGTTTTATTTCGAACCCTCGTTATTTCGAACTATTTCTCGTTTCCCCTGAGAGTTCGAAATAGCGAGGTTCAACTGTACTTTAAAATTATCTAAAAAGGAAACTTCGACAATAAACCATTTCTCACCGAAATGACCAACCCAAATTTCAAATGAAAGGAGAAAAAAAAAACTATCACATTAATAAGTCGCCTTTCATAAGTCTTTCATACGTTTAGATTTACATAGCTATTAAAGAAACTTATCACTTCTACCAATCACAAATTTGTATGCCATTGCAAAATTCTCAGTCTGGATAATGAATAACTGAGTTTTACGACTATGTTTAACGACTTTTACCATATGGTTTTACTGATTGTATGGAAGCAATGTATTTTAGACGTAATATTACTTCTAATACGAACTCAAATATTGTCTAATTCACGCACGAGTTACAGATTTCTACAGAGCTACGACAGTTTCCTAACCAGTAATTCAGTTTATAACAGTAGCTTGGGCCGACCCCCCGGGGGAGGCTGCTTTGGGAATTTCTGGGTGGTGATGTGCCGCTTGGACCCTGGAATCCTTAGCCTATACCAGAGCTAGTTCAGCTGAATTTTGCTACCCTATACTAGAGTAAACTCCCCAAATTCCCCCATCTATCGACACTGTTGAGGCTGATTTGCGTAAATTTGCCGATTTGAGTTTTTATATTTTTGACTGGCAGTTCCTGGTTCCCTTAGTCTAGACAAAATCTTCAACCAACTAGTCAGTTTTGTGAAAAATTATACCCTATTTTAGACCCAAACGCTCTGATTTATATACCCTATCCTAGAGTAAACTGCTTGAAAACCATACCCTTCACAGCGGCACATACCTATATAGCCCATATATGGCAGTGCCCCGCCCCGTGGGGGGCCGACTGAGGGGTGTGTGCGAGAATCAAGAAACATGATTGGATTAACGTTCCCCTTATATATAGTTGACAAGTGTGCCAATTGCCACATCAATGCGGAATGTATTTATGGACGTTGTCGCTGTATGAAAGGCTATATTGGTACTGGATATGTTTGCGAGAAAGGTAAGTTTTGTATCGTATCAGAAAGTTTTGTATCGTAGTTTTTCTGGTTGTATTAATATCAACCTGTACACGTTACAGGGGTACACAAAGAGCTGAATTGTCAGAACTCGTCTTGCACCTTCATCGCCACGAAATAACCCGACAAAAACTTTCTGTACTGTTTTCTAGCTGCTGACAGCTGTATCACTCATAAATGTAATAAAAACCATGAATGTAATACCAACCATAAATGTAATAAGAATTGACCATAACTGTTATACTGACCGTAATTGTAATAACTTTTAGCCGCAAATGTAATAAAACCACTAACCATAAGTGAAATAAAATTTGACCATAAATGGTAATAACCTGAACAACCATAAATGTAATACAATACCAATCATAAATGTAATAAAAATTGACCATAATTGTAACACTGACCATAAATGTAACAACTTTTAACCACAAATGTAATAAATCCACCAACCCTAAAACGTAATAAAATTTGACCATAAATGTAATAAACTGAACAACCGTAAATGTAATACGGCTTAACCATAAATGGTTGGTATTACATTCATCTGATGGTTTTTATTATATTTATGGGTGATACTTTTCCCTTTTCCCAGCGGAAATATCTCAACTCAGTGTTTCCCAGCAGACACATCGAGTGAACCAAAGTTATATACGTTGAACACACTTAGGGGCGTGCTTCTAGAGCCATAACGGCACCTTCAGTTGGGGGAGGGTTAAGATGGGCTGTGGCTTCGAGGCCGAATCTACACCTTCGTTGGGAAGCTCGGGGCTAGCAAATAAAACCCGAATGTCATACCCAAACTCCGCCGTTTGACTGACCAGCAGGATATCGGATGGGGAACAAATTTTCTAAGGAATAGATCCGTTGTGTGCTTCCTAGAAACCTAGCCTATTGTAGGACCTCTTTATTCTTTTGTAGTATGAGCAGTCAAAACTCTCTATCAGCAGTGTAAATCTACTACCAGTCCATTACGATTGCTGTTCTCTTAGTGGCAAGCTACCCAATATCTATTGTGTTGTAGTTAGTGAGTATTGTAGTAGCTGCAGAGTGTTGTTGTTAACAAAATGGCTGCTACTTCTTTGTGTTTTCAACTGTGAAGAGGATTAAGATTAAGTTTTGAACGATTTAAACTAAAACAATTAGATTATTCGCTCTCGGTTTAGACGCGTGATAGTAGGTTCGGGCTGCGCCTTCATCAACTATTCGCGATAAAAATCGAGAGCGAATCATCTAACTGTGAAATATTGAGTATACCCTCTAGTCTAGTAATTTGCCCATATTGACTTGGTTTTGATTGCTATCATGTTTCAGCTGATAAAGAGACAGAGTGTGGGGTTTGTCCTGTTCATCATCACTGCGTTCAGGGATTTTGTGTTTGTATTCCCGGATATATTTGCCAAGGTTAAGATTAAATTACATTACGGAGGGTAATCATTAAAGTATCAACTACGTTATTTCAGTTATAGAAAGGACCCGGATGTATTTTCAAAATGGATAGAGCATGATCAGATAGACTTTAAAAGACTTTAACTGACAAATGACTATAAAATTATATTCGGATATTTGTCAGCGGCAATTTCTGTTCCGAGAAGCGAATAATTTTCTGAGATTGGAACGGGGAGGAAATCCTATTTTAACCATCTTGCAATGGTTTATTTTCAGATTTGACAGGATCTATGGGCTAAAAATCATCAACTGATGAAGCCTGGGGACAATTTTCTAAGATTTGAGACCAAAACTCTCTGTCTGTTGGAGTCAACGCACCTGCATCAGTTATAAGATGTGGACAAAGTGAAGAGATAGAGTCGTTGCATTTTGCTTTCGGGAGTTTCCTTTTGTACAGTGATATATTATATTATTATGTTATAAATTGATGTCATGTACAGTTTTTCAGTAGGTAGCCGAAGAATTCAAAGTAAGCTGTATGGTCAAAGTCTTTACCTGAATACGATACTGTTACAAGGAAGAAATTCCACTTCTAAATATTTTTGTATAACTGGCAATTCTGAGTATCATCATCACATTATCAATTAAAGCAATCCTAAGAATGATTTCCCGGCTACAACAGCACACCTAATTTAATTTATGGATAGAACAATTGAGCTGTGCGATTCATGAAACGCTCCCTGGTCAGAAGTAACAAAACTAGACAAAATTCTACAGCGAAACCTGTATTAAGCGGACACCCTTGGCACCCTCATTAGTGTCCGCTTAATACAGTGTGTCCGCTCAAAACAGGTTCTAATATGTTGTGCAGTAATAGTTAATTATTAACCCTTTTGTAAACACAATGTAACACAGTGTGAGATCACAGACT